TTTTTTGGTCGTTACCTTCAGTAATTTCAGGTAATCACACAAAAAGTACAAACCACTAAGAACATTGGCAGCAAACTCAGATATAGTATTACTGCATTTTTTAAAAAAAAAGTACTGACATTGACAGTGAATGCTGGACAGTCACCTAAAAAAAAAAAAAACAACACATTTCTATTGTTTCAAGTCTTTTCTTTTCATCTGTGAGGTGCCTTAATCATTTTACCCTAAGTAAGGCAACAAAGCCACTAAGACACAAGGGATTACTGAGTGTGAAATAATATATGAAAAACATTAAAGAGCAAGAATGATAAAAGAACAGAAATTAAGACAGATAGTAATGATTGATACTGCATGTAAATTTTTGGTGACACAAAAGGATCCTGAGAATATTATGGACTGAACATGTGACCAATAACAAAGTTTTAGAGAAAATGGAAACAAAAAAAAAAGGACACTTAAAATGGGAAAAAAATTTGAAATTTCTTGAGCACATTAGAAGGAAAGAGAGCTTGGGAAATTTGACACACACAGAACATACTGAAGGCAAGAGGAAAACTGCACATAACCTACCAAACGAGGTTGTGCAAATGGTTGGCAGAACAGGGATTAGGAAAGATAGCAAAAATAAAAAAAAAAAATGCTAAGAGCTACAAACTATAGAAAATTGTGGATGTTCTGAAAGGACATGGTACATAGAAGATAAAAAAAAATATTTACATACATATATGTCTGTAAGTTGACATATCCCTGCATCAACATCCGTGTGGGTGTTAGATTAAATGTGTGTATGATTGTGTGCATATTTAAGTATACAAATTTGTGTTCAGTACAAAGTTATTCTTTGACTAAGTCACCAGCTGCACTTTTTGTATACATGTAAGTTTAAGCAGAAGCTTATGTAGATGTGTCTGTCTGTGCATTGTCTTCATAGGAGACTGTTATGATAATATTTTTTTCAGACCATTGTTACTCTACACTGGTAGCTATACAATTGTTTCAGCTATAAAAGATCTGAGATCAGAAATTAAAAAAAAAAAAGAAAGAAAATACTTGAAAAAATTACTATAGTTAAAATAATTCCTTATCTCCTCAATTCAGATATTCTATAATTCATGGGAACAGTCCCAAATGGAGACTGAAATATAAAGAGTTAACCCTCTTTATGCGTACAATGTCATAGTGACAAAATAAAAATAAAAAACCTTATGGTTGAAATGTAGTTCTTTTTTAAATGGGAGTATTTCCGACATTTTTTTAGTCATTTTCTCCAAGCAAGGCAATAAAGCCACTCAAATGCAACATGTTAGAGAATATGTTAAAAATTAATATTAAGAAGAGAGGACAATAAAAGAACAAGAATTAAAAAAGACAGGTAACAATTAACATTGCATTTAAAATTTTAAAAATCAAAGTTGACTGGGATGCAAGAAACCACAAGAGTTCCTCAAGGGAGAAGTGCAATGGAAGAAACTGTTAACATAGAACTTACAATTAAATCTAACCATTTCAACTGTAAAATGATGAGACCTGGCTGCCAAATTCTTAAAATCTAGGTACCATAGCGGAAAGTTCATCAGAACAATCACGATGAAAGTATTTATAGAAAAATGACAGGGAAACTACATTATAGTGGTGATAAGCAACTGAAGCCAAGATACCAGGTCAGGACTAATAACATTGCAGATTCTTTAGATTTTATTAAAAACCTCTAATTATTTAGCAGGAGCACCAAACCAGATGTGGCAGCAATATTCAAAGTATTTATGTTGAAATCAAACAATGAAAATACATCGGGGGAAGAAATTATCAAAGAAATATAAATAAATAGATCATTTTCAATATCTTCTATGTGCAAACATGGTCCTCCAAAACCTTCTGTCCTTTGTAGCTCTTAGTAAAGTTTGTCCATTTTACTATAACTCTTAACTTTTGTTCTGCCAACCATAGAGTAAGCAACAAGGAAGTACTAAATAAAACGGCAACAGAAAGAACACTGAATTTCCTTGGACACACAATGAGAAAGGTGGATTTGGAAAACGACTCTCGTGTGGCATACTGAGAGTATAAGGGAAGTAGGTTAATCACTTACCTGATGAGAATGGGGACCAGGGGCGTTAGCAAAGGGAGAAAACTGCTAAGAGCTACATCAAAGTTGTGGAGTGCCATTATCACCTATATCCTTGAAGGGATGCTGGCACATAGAATAATTTGGAAAAGCATATATTTCCCAAACTCCTGTCTCTTGTTAATCAGAAATGTTGATAGATAGAAAACATTTTCATGATATATATTTAATATTGAAAATCATCTTCTGTGAGTAATGTTGGTTCACTGTTTCATACCAGACAATTTTTCTCATCAGAATCCATTTTGCATGTTTATCAATCTACCATTCATCCATATTGAATATTGTTGCCATATCTGCTCCTGCTGTATGTCTCAAGATTCTTGATAAAATCCAAAAAAGAATCTACATTGGTCCTGACCTGGCATCTTGACTTCAGTCACTTTTCTACTGCCATGATGGAACTTCTCTGTGCTTTTTCTCTAAATATTTTCATTGTACTAATAGGCTTTTGTGGTGAACAGTCCCATAGAAGCAAGTGAGCCAGAGTGGCTTGCATCTGGTGCATAAGTAAATAAGGGTCTTACCTCAATGTGCGGCACGTGGCATTGGCAAGCTTGCTCCTTGAAAATGGCATTACTCTCCCATCTAGCTGTTCCAGCAGTATGTGTGGTAACAAGGAATTTTGTACAGTTTGGCATGTTTCAAGCAATAGCAATTCATGCTGATTAGTCAAACTGGAGGAGGAGAAAAAAGCGAAGGACAATGGTTGGTTGGTCAACCATGGTGTTGGCCTGATAAAAAAGGGCTGAAGCAGTGAGAATAGGAGAAAAGGCGGATTTATGTTTTGAAGTGTGTTGTAAAGTAGTTTTCACAGTGGAGACTTGTATTTCACTAAGTCGTCCTAAATTAGGTTCGACATACAAAACATTAAGGAACTTGCAATAATAGTTTATGATGCAGAAATCTAGTTGTGATAGTTGATACTTCAATGTCCAACATCGACTGACTCACTCAACTCCACTGAGCCCAACTTGCGACCGCTACTACTACTACTTATTATGTGTGGGAGAGTCTATTACAATAGAATAGGTAATGTTCTAGTATAACAAAGTGTTCAGAAAGCAAGAACAGCAGATTGAACCAGTGGTATCTTGAATTGTATGAGCAACGTCCGAGCACTTAAGCTACAGCTTTCCACCTTGGTACCTTGGCCGTATGAATTTAAGCATACTAATAGATTGACGACTAGCATTCATCATTTTGCTGTTGAAGTAAATATAATTGTAAGTTCTATTCTAATAGTTTCTACTCTTGCACTTATTTATTTGTGGAACTCTCTTCCAGTTTTTTGATTCACTACCATCTTTGGTCTTCAAAAAATGAAATGCTATATCGATCACCATCTTCTGTCTTTGTTGAATCTTGTTCTTTTATTGGTTTTTCCTCTCACTAACATCATCCATTTTCCGTGACTCTCAGTAACTCCTTGCATATTAATAGCATTGTAAGAGCTCCTTTTAAGAAAATAAAGGAAATGGCGAATACAGAGGTCTCTTTCACAGCATTGCTGTAACCAGCATGTAAATAGTCCTCTGATTGGCCAATTGATGAGCCAATGACAACCCTACATTGTTTCCACTTTGCCTATAATTTAGAAACTCTCTCTTTTGACAAAACACAGCCAACCAGTGAAAAAGAACTGGACCCACATTTTTTTACATTGTGTCTACAACAGCATTATCACCTTGTGAAATGATTTTTAAAAAGTCATACGAGGGTCATTCAATAAGGTGATTTTTTTGGTATAAGGACTTCTAATACAGATAGCTTACTTTTTTTTTATTTTTCAACATAGTCTCCCAGCACTGTCACACACTTTTCCCATCTGTGGACAAGCTTCCGTATTCCCTCAGCGTAAAAATCTTTGGACTGATATCTCAGCCAGTCGCTCACAACACTTTTGACTTCATTGTCACTTTTAAACTTCATGCCTCTCATGAACGCTTTCAAGGGACCAAAAAGATGAAAGTCTGAAGGGGCAAGGTCTGGGCTGTAAGGAGGATGTGGGAGCAGTTTCCAGCCCAGCTTGTTGATGGTCTGCACCGTTTGAATTCCTATAAACCTATAAACTTCAACTCTTCAGCAACCAAAAACTCGATAACTGACCGTTATTCAATCCTGGAGTATGCTTCTTGGTCGGCCATCTTTGTTAATCGCCAAAACTCTCAAAGTTTTTTTAATCTGCAAAAGAAATTAAATCTATGTGAAAAAGAAGTAAAACAAAAAAAATTTTAAAAAGTAAGCTTCTATCTGTATTAGAAGTCCTTATACCGAAAAATTCACCTTATTTATTGAATGACCCTTGTATATTGCTTCAGATAAGAATATTATGTATAAAGCAATGTATGATATTCCTTAATAAATTCACTTGAGCTATCTTAAACCCCTGATGAGTGAATTAAATCTGTGGAACTTCAGGTTGAGAAAATAAGTTTTTGAACTTTTTGTTTGTTTATTTAACAAAAAAAAATATCTGCAGGAAACCATACATGTGTGTGTATGCACAAATATCTGATGGAAACAGTTTACCATTTTACTTGTTGAACTTAGATTTATTGCAAATCAAAACAAATTGTAATTTGATCTTTAAAAATAAAGATCTAGATAATAAAAGCATGAAATACAAATGTTGCTTTGGAATTGCCTGTTTTCAGTCAGCCATCAGTTCCTAAGCAAATTCAATCCTCTGCTCTCTATCAATTTCAGTCTGATAATTGAGTTGAATAAAGAGACATTGATGACCAAGAGTCCCTTAACTTTGAAATTCTATTAAATTTGCAGTTGTTTGCATGTTTTTTCTCTCCAGTGCTTTTGTAGTGTAACAAGTAAAGACTTATAGAAGAGATTATTTTTGATTGGAAGTCTGATAAAGTTAATAGGAAGAAGAGAGGCAAGGAAATGAGAGGTTGAGGGGAAATGTTTTTATGGAATGAGAGAAAAAAATAGAGAAGCAAACAAATGAGTAAGGAAATGAGGAGAATAAGGTGTGGGTAAAAAATAGGATAAGAAGAGAAAAAGAGTTCAAAAAAGGAAAGAAGTATGAGTATCTCAGATTGAAAGAGAGAGGAGAAAAATAGAGGAGAAACAAGATAAAAGATATCAAGGAAGGGGGAGGAAAAGGACTTTGATTGGGGAAGAGAGAGGGAAAGAAAGACTGAAAGAGGGTAGGAAAAAGTAGATGAGAAACAAAGAAAAAGAAAGGTAACAAGGAAGTTGAAAGAAAACTTGGGTGGGTAAAATGCGAGAGGAAAAGAAAATTTGAAAGAGTGTGTGGGAGGAAAATAAATGACAAAATAGAAAGAAAAATTATGAAGGAAGCGGAAAGTAAAGAAAAAATTGGAGTGGGGAAAATCAGAGAAGAAGAACGAGAGAGGCTGGGAGAAAAATAGATGAAAAACAAAGAAAAATGCAAAGGAAGAGGAAAAAAGAAAATTTGGAGGGTGGATCTGAGAAAAGAGAGAATGAAATAAGAAAGGAAAAAATATCAAAGAAGGGGAAAGGAAAAAACCTCGGAGAAAATGAGAGTGGAAAGAAAGATAAAAAGGAAGGATAGGAATATTTTCTATAGTGAAATATTTAAATCAGAGAGGAAGATAGAAACTAAGGAGGGAAAAAAAGAAAGGTAGTACCTGAAAGAGAAAGGATAAGAGAAAAAGAGAAGTATTATAATATGTTATGCTATGAATGGCACCAGAAGTTCAGGTCTGATTAGAGATATCCATTGCAAGAAATAGGGGGACACAAAGTAGGTTTCCAAAAAGGGCAGTTATTCAAAAATATTAGAGTTTGAGGATTATAGCTCAACTATTTATAGATGTTAGTCCTTGGAGTATTATCGGTTTAACATAATAAAATGGAAATAACTGATCTTGCTATGCATAATGCAGCAATGACTAACATAGAAAAATAGTCAAGCATAATCCAATCCATGTGACTTAAAGATTGCAATTAAGCATGGAACAGACTTGCCACTTGGTTTTAACATAAGTGTCCACACTCTTTACGTATGTTATGACCACATTTGTTTCCAAGTATAACCGTTGCTTGTTATTGTGCCATTCCAGTTTCACCAGTGCACTGGTTGGGTGTAGCCTTAATGTCGAGCCTGGAATTTACATTCTCTGTTACATTGTGATTAACTTCCATTGATTTTGAGTGTCTTTTTCAGTGATAGCCAGCCATTGCACTTGAAACACGGAGATCATTTCGTGATGATTGTTTTAACATGCAATGTGCTCAGAGATCTTTTTTTAAAGAGGTGTTGGGGGGGTGCTTACATGGAACCAGTCCCACTCTCTAAACTATGATAGCATTTACTTAAAAAGAAGTCATATATATATGTGTGTGTATATATATATATATATATATATATATATATATATATATATATATACACTATTAGCAGTCAATTATAATTTATTACATTGGAATCTGTTGTAGAGTAGTTTCACAGTGGAGGCTTGTATTTAACTAAGTCGGTCCTAAAATAGGTTCAACGTACAAAACGTTAGGAACTTGATATAATAGGTAATGACGCAGAGAAAATCTAGTGGTGGTCGCTGATACTTTTAGTATCCGACTAATAGTCGTCCGGCATCGACTGACTGACCAACTCACTGAGTGACTTTAGTGACTCCTACTACTCCTACTTATTATAGGTGGGAGAGTCTATTAACAATAGAATAGGTGTGTTCCACTATAACAGAATCATAATCACAATCCAATTCATCAGACCTACAAATTTGTAGAATATTAGTGTTTGAGCCTTTATATATATATATATATATATATATATATATATATAGTAATGATGTTAAAAGCATAAATAACTTTATTTTTCAAAATATTACTTATCAACTTGTGTGTGTGTGTATATATATATATATATATATATATACACACACACACACAGATTGATCAATAAATTTCTAGTTTACTGACAGTTATTTGCTGAATTTTAATTTAAAATTTTCATTGTATCTTTCAATCCATGTTACTAATATGGTAATTTTATTGACAAGGAAGAATATTACATTGAAAAAAGTATATTGAGTGAAATAAATGTTTTCAAGCATTACTACATGGACTTATTGATATGTGTGTGTGTGTGTGTGTGTGTGTGTATATATATATATATATATATATATATATATATATATATATGTGTTTATATATACACTCTCTCACACACACGCACACAGATTTGTTGGTCAAAAAAAGGTCCCTTTAAAAGAATACATTCAATTATTTTCAAAGCCATATATAAATTCTGTGGTACAAAATGTTTAATTATATATATGATTTTATATATCAAGAAACAGTATTAGAAAAATAGTATGACAAATTGGAAAGTTTTTGTGAACTGGGCTTTG